GAGTCAGACCAGGAAGAGGATGAAACTTCGGGTCCTGAACCATCAATGTCACAGGACCCACATTTTCTCCCATCCTCCTCCTCTGAACCACACCTCATAACACAAGGTGAACTGAATAACCTTGTCAGGGATTTGAAACTACCCAAGAGTAAGGCAGAGCTGTTGGGCTCCAGACTACAGCAGTGGAATCTCCTGGCAAGTGATGTTAGGGTTTCCATGTTCCATGACCGTCAAAAGGATCTTGTCCCATTCTTCTTCATGGGAGGTGATCTTGTAGCCTGCAACAACATCGATGGTGTGATGGCAGCCCTCAACATCGTTCACGATCCAGATGAGTGGAGAGTGTTCATTGATTCATGGAAGACGAGGCTTAAAGCTGTTTTACTGCATAATGGCAATGTTTTGCCATCAATTCCAGTTGGTCATGCAGTCCATATGAAGGAAACCTATGACAACATGAAACAACTTTTGAGGTGCATAAACTATGACCAACATCAGCTTTGTGGCGATTTGAAGGTTGTTGCTGTCTTGCTTGGTCTGCAGACTGGATACACAAAGTACTGCTGTTTTCTCTGCGAACGGAATAGTCGTGCCTGATGACTTGGCAGGCACAGCTGCAGGTCCTCATTGCTGACAGCAGCCTTACGAGAGTACATCCAGGAAAACTTAGACAAAGGCCTTATCTTCCACTCTATCTCCCCAAAGGTGCCCCATTACTCTTTCTTTCAAAGAGCTGTCTTCTTTAGACTTGTGTGGGCTACAGGGCACTTAAGCAAATAACTGTATACAGTCAGTACCCTCTGCTGTTAATTCTGCAGCTTTTGGATTGATTATGGTTGGCTTTGGTGTTTGCCAAATTGAATCTTATAGGAGTATATAACCTAATTCGCATCACGAATGGGGATGAATAGAAGATAGCCTTTAGAACTCGGTATGGGTATTTTGAATATTTAGCAATGCCCTTTGGCCTTCCTAATGCCCCAGCCACCTTTGAGCACCTGATTAACAACATTCTTCAAGACATCCTCAACCAGTATGTGGTCACATATCTGGGCAATATATTAATCTACTCTAGTTACCAAGCAAGCCATGACTTCCTTGTCTGTGAGTTTCTCACATAGTTATGCTAGCATTGGTTATAGGCAAAGCTGGAGAAGTGCACATTTGATCAGTGGTCCACTGAATTTTGTGGATTCATTCTATCCATGGGAGGGGTAGGGATGGATCCTCAGATGTCTGCAGTTCAGGACTGGGTAGAGCCCTGAAGTATTCAAGACATTCAAAAATTCATGGGGTTTGCCAACTTCTACAGGAGATTCACTCCCAACTTTTCAAAAATCTCATCTCCCATAACCGCCATCCTTCATACACCTGCAAAGTTTTACTGGCCCCCAGAGGCACATCAAGCTTTTGAACATCTGAAGATAGCCTTCATCTCAACTCCAGTGCTAGCCCTTTCTGATCCTGACCAGCCTTTTATCCTTGAAACCAACACCTCCAACACAGCCATTGGGACAGTACTGTCCCAAAGAACAGGGACCCAACAGGAGATGCATTAATGTGCTGTCCCCCCACCCTTGAAAACTTACTTCAGTCAAATGCAATTATGAAATAACCAACAAAGAATTCCTCACTATCAAGGTGGGGCTTGACACAAGGCGACACTACCTTGAGGGTGGTTATGCACCTCATACAAGTCTTAACAAAAACCTGAAATATATACAATCTGCCATCACGCTAAATCAGTGGCAAATTTATGTTGGGCCTTGTTCTTTTCAAGGTTTGACTTGATGATCATGTACCACCCAGGCCACAAGAACGGCAAGGTGGACACACTTTCACAGAAGGTGCAATACTATGAACCCCAAAGAATCACCACTTGAAATACTAAAAACACACCATTTCCTTTGTGGATCTGTCTTCGGACATCCTTATTTCACTTAGAGCAGCCACCCTGATGATCCTTTTGTAAAGTTTATACCACCAAACAAGGAGGGCCTCCCTTCCACCACTTTACACCACTATTCCTGGGCTGATGATCTTTTCTATGTTAATGACTGTGTAGATATCCCTGATGGTTCCCCACGACTCAAGGTGCTGTGCATGCACCATGGGCAGGTCGCTTTGGACAATTCAAGACTTGGCATGCAGCAGCCTGCTTATTCTGGTGGTTGCAGATGTGGGACAATGTTCAATCCTACATCAGGTCCTGAGACACATGTGCTCAGACTATGACCTCATGAAGTAAGCCTTTCAGCCTCCTGACAACATCTGAAGCCTCTTCCTGACCCTGGTCACATATAACCCTTGATTTCACAGTAGAACAACCAGAATCAGAAGGACACAACACAGTACTAACCGCAATGGATCAACTCACCAAAATGTCCAATTTTATACCACTCTCATGCTTCCCACCTGGAGAAATTACCACATTACTCCTAAATACATGTTGTGGTGTCCCCGAGCATCTCACCACAGAACGAGGCTCTCACTTTATATCCAGGTTTTGGAAGGAAGTGTCTCACCTCCTGGATGTCCATTCTCCTACATCCACCCCCCAAAATTCCCCAGACCAATGGCCAGTCAGAATGGGTCAACCATGTACTTGAACAGCATCTACGCTGTTTTCTGAACCACTGCCAAAATAACTGGGTTGTGTTACTCTTGTTAGCAGAATTTGCTTATAATAATGCAGAACACGCTTCCATTTGATTCAGTCCTTCCTTTTCCAATTATGATTTTCATCTATGGTTCCATACCTTTGCCCCTCATCTATGGCGGTTCCTGCTGTCTCAGATCTGGTACAGCTATTCATAGAACCCAGGCTGACCTGAAGGAGCAGCTGGAAGCCACCAAAATATCCTACAAACATCACACCAACATGTACTGCCAAGAGGCCCCTCCTCTGAAGGTTGGTCAAAATGTATGGCTGTTCACTAAATATCTACAGATTGGCTGACTGATGCACAAGTTGGACCATCAATACACAGGCCCTTACACCATGATTTGACAATTCAATCTGATGGCATTTGAATTGCAGCACGCTTAGCCCCGGAAGATCCCTCTGGTATTTCATGGATCCCTCCTGAAACTTTTTCTCAATGAAGCAACAAGGGTCCTGTGGCACCTTTAAGACTAACAGAAGTATTGGGAGCATAAGCTTTCGTGGGTTAAGAGCCTCTCTTCTTCAGATGCATCTGAAGAAG